AGTTATTTACAAGGTGTTTGTGATTTTGACAAATAATGTTAAAATTTGACCTTCAAAGTTCAAATACTTATTGTCTATGTATCATTAGTATTTTCAAATAGCTATAGTAATTTACTATTTATGAAAAGCATTGCACTAAATGTGCAAGCTTTTTAACCCAGCAAAATTTTTTTATCAACATTTATAAATAAAAAAAAAAAAAAATAGAATATTGCAATTGTATATAAATGGCTTTAAGAGAGTTAATTTGTTTAGGAAATGATAATGATTTGCTGAGAATAGTATCTACGGTTATTCGTTTTTGAATTACAAAAAAATAAGAAACTTGTTTAATGAGAAATCAATATTTTAGGCATGAATACTTTTCATGATTTATTTTTTTCAAAATTTTAATTTAAGAAACTTATGAACAAATTTTTTGTAGATTAATACTCAATATCTTTTTTAATTTAAATAAAAAACTTATGAAGAACCTTGTATTAAATTGTTAAGTTTTAAATATTTTATGAATTTTGACCCCGAAATAAATTGCAAATTTTCGCAATTTTAAAAAATTACTTAAAAATTTTAATTTTAAAGGCTTTTACAAAAATATTATGCCCATATATTTTTATTTTTATTTTTAACTAATATATTATATACATCTTACAAAAAAAACAACTGAAAAAATAATTTCAAATTTCTATAAATAGCTCAACAACAAAAGTACTGAAAATGTTATATTCCAACCTTTTATAGTAATAGCTAGAACCAATATACTATCAGAAAATAATTTCTAAATTGAAAGTTTTTACTACCTACCCTAGAAATAATGAAAAACAAAAATTAAAAAATTTTAAATTATATAAAATGTATGAAAAACACAATTTGTAATAAATTCATTTTAAACTCTAAATGCATTATTGTTTATTTAAATATAACTATATCTCTGGTACAAGAAAAAATGTTTAACTTAAAATTTTTGGCTATTAGAATTTATTTAAAAACTGTAGATTTTCATTCACTTACTTTACCAATATTATTATAATTCAATTGATGTGTTTAGAATAGGTTATCTAATATAAAATATAAATAAATAAATGGTTTGATAAATTTATAGTTCACAGTTTTATATACTTTTTTTTATATCTATATAAACATTATAAACTAATTAATTCACATAAAAATCGTATTAAAAAAAAATCAATATAACTATAGGTACTTAAGGATTTATTTTTAATTTAAAACTATTACTAAAAGCGGCTATATAGGTCAAATATATATTTTAATTTATATAGTGTAGATGCATTATGCATAATTTATACCAAATATCTATATAAATCATAAATATAATTAAGTATCTATTAACATATAGTTTATATTTGATAAATAAGATTCAAATTTTGCAAAACAAATTTCTGAGGATATGTCTTAAAGCTCCATGGCTTATAACTTATGAGAAACAGTCAAATCTACAACGACACGGATATACCATTCATTAACGCATGGATAAAGATGCAATTCATACACTTCCACGCCAATCTAAAAAATTCAGACGGAGCCCGTCACCACAATCTAGGAAAAAAAACACCCAACAAACGTCTGCGGCCTCGACTCCCTCAGGACATTCTCCTAACAGATAGCGAAAATCCATCATCAGAAGACTAATAGAAGAACACATTTTACACTTGTACAATAACTATAACTTACTCAACTATATTAATATCAATATAAAAATGCATGTACCTAGTATAATTTAATTCATTGTAAAAATAATTACTTGTAATAGCACTCTTTGTTCTGAAACATTTTATGATTATAATAAAAAATTTAAAAAAATGTTTGATAATAAAATTACAAACTTAAAAATATACAATTCTCATCAAAACTTTAAAATTGAATTTTCGATTCGATTATTTATGAAACCATAGTGATTTTTTTTCAATCTCTAAAATTTTAATTTTCATCTGTTCCGATTATTTTCTAAAATATCTCAATACTTTCAGTTCAGAAAGACGACGAAGCCACGCACTGTGTAATATTTTCTTGACGGTAGCATTCGATAAATACCGGTAAAATTTATATATTAAGGTATATGTTTTTTCTGTTGAAGCATGAGATCTAAAATCAGTAATGTATAAAATATTATAAATTATAAATATACATTCTATATACCTACTCGAATTCTGAAAGAGCACCAATTTATAAATTACAAGAGTCTAAAATTTATATATTTATGTTGAAACAACCTAATACAGGGTTGCGTATCATCGCTGTTTTTTTTTTACACGTTTTCTATTTATAAATTAATAATATAAAATAAAAACTAGCAATACAACACAATTATAATAAAACTTTGATAAATTAATAAGTTTAAATCTATTTATTTTTTTATAATAATAAATATCATTTATAAATTATACTTAATCATACTTTATAATAACTTTATCATATTTTTCTGGTATATTTAGTCTAAAATAAAAATAAATTTAATTATTAAATCACTATGGAAATCAGTCAACTGCTGTTTTAAACATATTATACATAATAAATACACACATAATATCTTCTAGTTGCTTTTTTCATTTTACGCTTTTAAAATGCTTTTTTCTATCTCTCGTTTCTATATCAAATTTATTTGTAAATACAAATTACATTTTTCTTTTCTATTTTAGTTTTATGTATCATATACCTATATATATTTGAAATATAGAATTAACGACTGAACAACGTAATTTATTTGAAAATATTCGAATAATCTTCACAGTCGAATAATTTAATAGTGTCATCCGAATGTTTTTAATGATTATTCAAACAATTATACATATTTTATTATTATTATATATTTTGTGTATTTACATATCGTCGTTAAATTAATACAACTGTACAAGTGATATTTTGTGAATAATTTTTAAATAAATTTTTAATTATTTTTAAAGAAATTAAATTTGAATACAATTTATGGTTAATACATAATGGGTGAATGTCAATACTGGGTATTGTTATAGCTTAGTTAACTGTTATTGGTTTCATATATTTAAATTATAGATATTTCAATTTTAGTCAAGCTTATGCATCTATTATTTTATTTTGTTTACTAAAATATTCTTTAATTAAAACTTATCATTAATTTTTTAATTTAAAAGAAAAATATTTACAATTTATACAATATTATGTTATAATAAATATATTTGATAGCTAAATTCGATTAGAAATCATATAATATTTTCGATCGAAATAGAAAGGTTCTCGGAAGTGCCATCTGAAAAGACGGGATTTATAAGTAAATAAAAAATATTCAATCATGAAATGTGAAAAAATCAATTATGCAAAAATAGATTATTAAAATCAATTTTTAATTAATATCGTTCCTTAAAATTATATAATAATATAATTAACACGATGTCATCGTTTTAACTTTAATTGTAAATTATTTTATTCCACCAAAACTAATATACCTACTGTAATGGATACGGTACCTAATTAAATTGTATATTGATTGAAAAATATATATATGTATACAAGTTAAAAGTGATTATTTCAGTATAACGACTACAATGTACCTATTGGTCATTTATTATTGTGCCATGTGTGGTTTGAATATTAAAATGTTGTCTTATTGCCTATTAGATCTAAGTATAAAAATAAATTATTTTAAATAATTGATTACGTTTTTGTGTACTCGGCGTTGAAATTGTGAAGTCAAAATTTGTGTTGCTTTTGTCTGATGCAGTACTGTAGTAGAGAGAACACTTCATTCTAGTGGTACCGTTGTGTACTCCATTGAAGAATTCTAGTTTAATTGGTTATTAAAAAGAGAACACAGTTATGGTCTATGGAATAAAACATCGCGATGGAACAAACGCGAGTATTTTATTATCGTATCGTCATACGTCGCTCTTCGATGGCGTTCGATATTACGTGAGCGGAAAGAAAAACTGTATAATATAAAAAGGACCGGCGGTGTCAAGTGAGTCTTAAATCTTAATAAACACTAACCAACTGAACATACATCGAAATCTTTATAATTATTTGAATTGGCATTATAACTTTATCTGTGTTCGTAAATTAATATTAATTATCATCTAAATCTTAATCTTAACCTTAGATCTAAGATCTTAACTATAATATTATAGTAACTATAACCTATGTATGTACATTCAATATTATATAATGTATTGTACATTTTATATATGGTCAACACTTTTTTTGGTACCTACCCACTTTAGGTAATTAACCAAAACCACATTTTAACCGTGGGTAACACAATATTGTCTCACGAATCGCAACAAATCAGTCGCCGCGCCGCTTTTTCTTTGTAATCAATAGGTACCTATAGACGGAAACACCAAAACTGCCAGAACCAACTCAAACGTATCCAAATATAAAATATTCAATCATGAATCACACTTATTTATTAACGATGACCATTGACCAACGGAGTTGGAGTGTTGGATTTAGAAGTGTAGTATTGGAGATTTTATTCGAATTTTCTGTTATGAAATAATTTTGATTAATAAGTACTTCAATACTTGTATGAAACTATAAAAATGATTTTAAATTAATTAATAACATGAAAAAAAAAAGATACTAATTTATCTTTTAAATTGACGGTTTAGCACCCCGTAGTCCGCACCCCGTCACGATATCATCATTTAACACTGAATAGGTTAAATTTGATAATAGCACAGAAATAATTCTGTGATTACTGATGTTGATAATAGTTTCAAGTTTTAACGGACTGAGGATATATAGGAATCTGGATGTTTCGATTGTTTCGTATTTGTGCTCAATAGTCAATATTGTCGTTAATAGTTTGTGATTAATATTTTTTTTTCATTTTTTTCATTTTTTTCATTTTCATCAACAATTAAAAGATCTTTATTACTGTACTCTGATTAATTACCTATTCGTTCACTTTTTGAATATAAATAAATCAACAATTATTTTATATCAAGGAGAAACAAATGTTTATTTATAGTCTGTGAATTACATCATTTACATCAAGACTATCAAGTAAATAGGCAATATTATTGATTATAAATATTACTTTTATATGATACTCAACAGTCTTTAATGATTAGAAGAAATATTTTTAAGCCATGTCTGATGAAAATGATCGGTGTGAATCAATATACTTCAGTTCCAGTTCGGTTCAATATAGGAAACGATTAGATGCTCAGTTTTACGAAACATCTTGTGAAGAAATGGCCATGAGTTTACTGGGCAAGATACTTGTTAGACGATTAGATGATAATACTATTCTTAGGGGTAGGATTGTTGAAACTGAAAGCTATCTGGGTCATGAAGATGCAGCTTCCCAGTCATTCAAAGGGAAAATAACACCAAGAAATGAACCAATGTTCATGAAACCAGGAACAGCTTATGTTTATTTTACATACGGAATGTACCATTGCTTCAATATTTCAAGCAAAGGTATATTCAGTTATTACATGATTTCAATCGCATAGTTTAAGATTAAAACTGTTTTATCTTGTTAGGAGATGGTGCTGCAGTTTTGATAAGGGCTGTAGAGCCTTTGGATAATTTGAACACTATGGCATCTCTACGAAAACAATTTAGGAAATGTCCAAAAACAGAGATGAAGAATAAAGATTTATGCAATGGTCCTGCAAAGTTATGTATTAGTTTTGCAATTGATATAAAATCTTGCAATAAACAAGATCTAACTTCTTGGGATGGAATGTGGGTAGAAGAAGACGAAAATAGTAAATTAATTGACACAATTGTTTGCTCACCAAGAATAGGTATTAAATGTGAAAAAAAATGGCAAGACAAATTCCTAAGATATTATATTCGTGATAATCCCTGTGTTAGCAAGATTGAAAAAATTAAAATGAATGAATTGAAGTATTCACAAATTGAAAATTTAAAATAAAAATAATATATAACCATAAGCGTGCACACGGGGTAGTCAGGGTAGGCACTTGACTACTCTGCGAACAACTCCCCCTCCTCAACTTAATATTATGTTTAACCATTTCAGTATGTCCGTAAACGGTAAAATGTTAGAAATAAGAATACTGGAAAAATTAAAAAAAATATATCGTCGTTAGTAACTGCCATGATAAAATAAATATATCATAATTTTATTTTATCAATTTATTGTATCATGGTTATCGCTGTTCAAACATTGAATTCTATCCATAGAGTAATACCACAGACTATGTTTTCATATACAAGATTTTCAAGGAAGAAAACGATACGTATCGATACGTTCCGGAAACGGGCTCGAGTGTTCAAGAAGTTTACGATACGTTAAAAAGTTACATCTGTATCCACGGTTGTATTATATATTGTATTATATATCTATTGTATCGAGATTTGACGTATAGTCTGTGGTAATACTCTATGATCTTATCGCAAACCAGACTGGTTGATTTCAGTTTACAACATTGAGTAATCCATGGCTAAATATATACATATTTATAATTAGTCATGGAGTAATCTATTTTATAGGTTCTATGGCTCCGTGGTAGACCATTGAATAATATCGATATTCGTTTATGATATTAATATTATGATAAAGTATTCGTGTTTTTACCGAATGTGACTACTGACTAACGAATTATTGCTCGAAAAAACGATACCTACATATTATAAAGAATTTAATTTGTAAATTATTTAATAAGGTGTATGTTAATTTAGAATTGTGATTTTAATCTCAAAAAATTTTTTTTTAGGTATACTACATTTAATTATTACTTATAAAATATTTTTTTATTATGGTAAATGCAGTTAAATAAAGTTACCCTATTAAAAATTTTTTGTTCATGTTAAATGTCAATGTGTAATGTATCATGTATGACTACCCTGCCAATAATGTCTGCGCACGCTTATGTATATAACTATTAAGTACCGGGTTTTAACTTTAAATAATGTGTTCAATCTTTATGTTAATATTTTTTATTTCTCTGTAATAAATAAGGTAGATTATTAATAAATGTTTGTTTATTACCTATTGGGAATTATTTTATCTATTAACTAGTAATAAAAAATAATTATTTTGTTAAACGTATGAAATAAATCAAATCGAGTTAAAATATATTACTTAAAAAAATATGATCAGGGCTTATTTAACATGTTAATAAATATTTTATGAATTTAATTGTTCACATCATATTTGGTGTACAATTTTAACATTTTTATTTCAGTAGTTAATATCAATGCATGATAACATTAACTTAATTTGAAATATAATAATTGTATCTATGTTTATTTAATGATTAAAACTAAATATTTGTTTAACACAAAAATCAACTATGTGTTAATAATTTTTATCAACAAACTTACCATTGTGCATATTATTTTCAATTAATTCACTTTAAATACTTTTTTTTGGTATATTATGTATTTTATTGTAAATATATAAATTTATTTTTATTTATATAAGATCTGGAATAAGTAATATTATTATATGAAACAATTATTTTTTTTTTATTTTTACTAAAAAAAAAAATGTTCAAGAAAATTATAAAAATAGCAAACATCCATAGAACAATGTTTAATAAATAAAAACTGGTTAAAGGTTTTTTTTACATTGTATTAAAATGTTGAGCATTTATTTTAAAATATCAATGTAATTGTACAATTGAAAGACAAAAAAATAACAATTAATACTATATATCCCTAATTTAGTAATTCTTGTTAAATAAATAACAAGAAAATGGTAACAAAAATACATCAACAATGTCAAACATGAAATAATATTTTATCACAAAATAATCATCAGACTATATGAATAACTTACTGATACTTAGTTATAAGTCATTATCAATTTAATCATAATACTCATTTCAAAATGAGAAGTATTTATGTTGCTTAGTGTTTTAGCTCACCAAAATTGGTAAAAAAAACATCCAAGCTTATCTGTAAATCTTAAATATTTTCTACTCTTCCTTTTCGCTTTGGTTCTGTTTTCTCTTGGCTTTGAGCTGAAGAATGCTATTAGAAAAATATATATTGAATTTAAAAATTTTAATAAAGTTTATTTATACTAAAATTACAAATAAATACCTTTTGAGAGTTGGAACATTCTGGGGTATTTAAGCTTGATGTGCAAGGCGATTGATCTCTTGAGTGTATCACACTACTACAATTTGATTCTGTACTACATTCATCACCTAAATAGTTACCATTTTTACTTTAAAATTTATACAACCTTAAAATATATTTATTTATTTTTTTACTTATTGTAGATCTCATTGAAATAGGACATGGTAAAATCATATTAGATGTATGCACATTAACATCAGTGAAATGGCTTCTTAGATTATGTTCTAAATAAAAGTAATAAAATATCAGTAAAAAAAAAAAAATAAACATATAGATATATAAAAATATTTCTAAATGTATAAAAAAATATACTAACTTTGTTTTAAGGTATTATTACATGGTGCATAATTTGTTTCGCAGGTAGTCATTTCTAATAAACTTGCAATTTGATTAAGTTGTTTTCTTCTTGCTTTAATTCGACCATTCAACAATCTAAATATAATAAAATTAGCCATTTAAAAACAAAAAAGATGTCTATATTAATACTCAGTTAATATTTATAAAAAATATGTTACTTTTGTCTTGCTGCATTACATCGGATATGATCATCAAAAATTAATTTTACTGTGTTTGTAACTTTATACTTTGTATCATGCATAGTAATGTGCAAAGTTTTTGTTTCATTCTCAATTTTAGTAACCTAAATATTAAGAGTTTAATTATATTTTTTTTATAATAAACAATCACAAAAATATTTTAATTTTTACTTCAGCATCATGAAGATAACAAGACAATTTGCAAACACCCCATCCAAGGAAACGGCTATGTGGTTCAACCAATACTAATTGGCTACTAATTATTGATAAATATCGTCTTGTTTTAGCACCATTTTCAGCAATTATCATACAAGTAATTAAATCATTACCATCTGAAATTTAAAAATAAGTGTAAATATATAAATAGAGTTTTGGATAGCAAATAAATTGATGAGTATGCACAAAGATAATGAGATGTAGTTAACATTTTTACCATTCACAATATTTCTTGCTAATTTAAAAAATTATAGAATCATTTAGCAATTATTTATATAAGAATAGAAATCAATCAACATTTTATTCCAACTAAATTTTATTGAGATTTGTTTGAACTCAAATCTCATTTCAAAATATTATATTATTTGAACATTACTAAGCTAATGGAATTTTAATATGTACAGTATATTAATGTGTTGTTAAATTCAATAAAATCTGAAGTTAGTATTTTAAGGTGTATTGGATACATCTAGCATAACTATGAAAAATAACTTTTATACCAAATATATACTGAATAATTTTTAATAAATAACACTCATTATTTCAAAATGTTTTTGAAGTTGTATCATATAATTTATAGTCTAGCTGAGTAGAATGAAGAGATACAGGGATATACTGCAAAATGTTGGTCAATTTGCATACACTTTAAATACTTATAATTCATAAAATACTCATCAACATTTTAATTGTTATGTATCAAAATATTTCAGAAAATATTCTGCTTCAAAATATGAAACTAAAAATATATTATCATTCAAAAAAATCAAAAACTTAAAAATATATTTAAAAAGAAAAAAGAAATTTGTTTATTTTGACTTGATAGTATGAACATTATTTCAAAAAATGTTATTAGATTTAAAAATAATGAGTGTTATTTGATAAAAGAATCGTTTTATATATAATTTAAAATTCCTTACTTAAATTGATCGGAGTATCAAACAAAAAACATTTAGTTCTGTCAACTAAAGGTAATTGTGTTTCTTCTTTTCCTTCAAAAGTCATTAGTAACTTACGTATACTAAGAAAAGCACAAATAAAATGTCTTGTTCTTTCAACCTATTAAATAATAAAACATATTGTTATTTAGAGCTTATTAAATTGAATTAGTTTAAATGAGCAATTTTATAATAATTTATTTAAGTTTATTAAAATGAAAAAATAAACTTGAATAAGTACTAATACTATTTAAATTATTTTAAAAATAAAACTATGATACGTACATCTCCACATGGTAAACGTTTTGAAAGTGATATTCCTGTCATTGGAGAATGGGCAGGCGGAAGTAACAATGTAGAATCACTTAAAAGTCTTTGAACATTAAGTACCTCTCTGTGCATTTCATTATATTCATCTTCAAAAAGTTCTAAGAACATTTCTTCTTTCTATAAAATACAAAACTTCATTATTTTATATTATAATTGTAATTATAAATAAATATATTTGATAATACTATGCTTACTTTAAAAAATTGTCTAAGAAGTGGTAAAATATTTTCTTTGGCATTAAGAATAACAGCTATGTGTCTGTCAGATATAAACACCTTTTCCTCATGAATTGTTATTTTCTTCAGCAATGCTATGGCCATTTCTAATGTAACTGAACGTACATAACAAACTAGAAAATAAAAGGTAATAAATTTATAAATAAATTTAATGATTAAATCACTTACCAGGTTCTGACGCAGCTGCAATTATGTTAACTAACTTATCTATAAGCTCATTTCTTTCATTACAATGAACAAGTGAAGAACTATTTTCACTTTTAATGGGAGTTAAAAATCCTTCATAATACTCTTTGGAAAGACTTGCATTTTCTGATATAGCATACAATAAACATATACCAAACAGTGCAGAACTGTCAGATTTCTCAATTACCAATTGACTAAAGATCGAATCTAAACACCGACTATGCACAGAATCAGCTAAACAAATAAATAAAAATATTTCATTTTTAATTTGTCTAAAGTAAATAAATGTATAAGGCAAGAGAGGGATAGGAACACCATAGAAGACAAAAATATACAGAATAGAAAATGATAAGAAAATAGCTGTAAAGAAGAGATGAATTTCAAAATGCTATACAAATGTAGGATAAGAGTGACTAAAGAGTAATCTCATATAGTTAAAAGCAAAAGACAATAAAGAAGAAGTGAAGAATTAGTCAAACCTTCATTTTTAGATAAAAGTATTTCTTTTTCTTCGTCTGTTATGTTCATACACGTTAATGATTTCATATCAAAAACATCATTTGATTCAATATCTGATTTTTCTACATTTTCTATTTCTGGTAATACTGATGCTTCATCTCGTAATTTAGTTTCTTCAGTAATCTAAACAAAAAAAATTATTTTAATATGAGAGAAAATAATTCTATTTTCAATAATAAAAACATTTAAGATCTACTTGATTCTTTACAGAAAAATTGCTTTCCAATAAGTATTTAGCTAATGGTGTAACTAATTCAGTTTGATGAATAATTAAAAAAACTTGTGTTAATAAAAATAAACATATATCACTGTTCATCAATGGTTGTTGTTTTACAGCATCTACAAACTATAAAGTATAACAAATTAATTATGTGACATTTTAATAAAATATATAACATATAAGACTTTAAGCTATTTAAACGTATATTTACTTCTTCTGTTTCAACAATAATGTATTTATCTGGTGGTGCTAACGAATGAATATAATAAGGTACAAACAGTTTATTCATTAAATGATCAATAAGAACTTCATTTAACATATCAACCTTTGAGCTTAAAATATCATTTAGATAATGTAAATCGTCTAGATGTGAACTGACAAGATCTGCAAGTTTAACTCTATACTGATCTCTAAAAATAAAAAAATATTTGTAATCATGTGAACTTTATAAATTACTAAATATTAAATTACTGTATATTTTTTTGAGTATCAACATCAATTGGTTTAGCTCTTGCACTAGCATCTAATTCTAAGACGTGTTTACCCATAAACCAAACCAAGTTTCCAAAATATGGAGCACATGTTTTATCCCTGATAAATCGTAACATGCTTTCATCTTCAACTCTGTAAACATTAAGTGTCAATGTACGGACATATGTACGTACCATAGAATCAGGATGGTTGAAAAACTTAATTGCTTCTGTATAAAGTGGAAAATCATTGGTTGACTATGAGTTATACATAAAAATAAAAATTAGAATTAATGAATTTCAGAGCTTTTAAATAAATTGTATTACCTCATTATAAAAAAAGTGAATGGTATTTAAATTAAGTTTAAAAGATAATGTTTTTAAAAAAGATATATAATAAGCTAAAACATCTTCATCAGAAAAATCCAGCTTATTTATGATTATGCTATTAACATGGTTATTGCTGAGCAAATAATCTAGAAATAAAATTAAAATATTATTGGTTTGTTAAAAAAATTTATGGATTTGAAATGAACACTTACATAAAGCAGTCTTATTTTTAATGTTTTCAAATATAATATTCAGTGTTTGAAGCAATTGAACACAAACATAATTTCCACACTTCTGATTCAAAATATGTAGAAAGTAATTAAACATATTATTTTCCAAAAAGTACCTAAACATGTACAACAATGTCCATAAATATAAAAATAATTATTTTTTTAACTTGTATCATAGATTTTGTGCCGAACAATTTTATATATTGATGATGATATGTGTTTTTAAAATTAAAACTCACAATATTACATAAATACAGAGTTTTGCCTCATGTGATTACTGGTTTATTAAATTAATTGTTTATTGGAAAATTTTTTATTAAAATCACCAAGTACCAAATTAATATTGAATCACTTTTATAAACATTCTTATTGTTTTTATGATATTTAAAACAGATTAATTTATAAGACTAATTTTATTTTTGAACTTATCAGATTATAATAGTGTGTACATTATACCATTCAGTTATCTTTGTATGTTGCGTAAAAGTGTCAATTAGTTTATTATACGTAATTTGTGATCAACTAGAATAGAATCAAAACGATCTGAACCAATGTGATTACATTAAGCAGAATTCACTAAATCCAATTTTTGTTATTTGTTTTGAAATAAATTAAATAAAATTTATGTTAAATATAAATAATACATAATTTAATTGAACTCAGAAAAATAATACCTTCATTCAATGTATCTGATTTTGTTTTTTAATATATTAATTTTATATAGTAGACCAGGAGTCAGCAATTAAATTCTATAGCCATCCCAGGTAGTTTGAAAACGTTTTTTGAGGACCAGAAAAAACTTATGTGCTGAAAACCAGTATTAAAAAATATTTTAAATTTTTGGTGGTCCAGTTATTTTCCTTTTTTGGGCCAGGCTGACTGCTTATTGCCGACCTCTGTGATAGACAATTAACAAATACAGAGTATCAAAACAAACAAATTTTGCCCTTATTAACTGATGTTTCATTTTAACATACATGACTGGACTGTTAAAGACTTTCTATTTTCTACTAAAAATATACTATATAAGTTAATATCATTATCAAGTTGATGTTTTTTTTCTTAATTAGTAAAGTTTTTTTAAAGGTTGAATAATATTAAGGTCTTAATAATCATTAAAAATATTTGATTTCACCAGAAAATTATATAACTATAATTTTAATATAATAAAATATGCTGCTTAATTTTATACAATTTAAAATAACATTTATTAATTATATTGGTAAATGTATGCAATTTAGCTGTGATAAAAATAATGATATGACTAATATTTGATTATTAACTGCTTGATTAGACATAATAACTTTAAACGATCATGTAATAATCAAAATATATTGTACAATTTGGCAAATTTTTGAAAAGTTAGGTGTTAAAATTTCCATTTATTAGTCTATAGTAATTCTAATTGTTTTAAGTTTAATAGAGAATAGCTCATATTCTATCTATTAAGATCACTAATAATTTTAATGAATAAAAATATATTTTTTACTGTGTCATTATGAAATCTTTTAATTTGGATAATATGATGACTACAAAATTTATATTAAAAATAATCAGTAGGTCATCATAATTTTTTTTGATGTTATTGCCTACTATGTGTCATTATTCACTTTGTTTGTAAAACAATTAACAAATTATAACATAAGTCAATTTTCTCAAATGACAAAATTATTTCAACTACCTAATCATTAGTCATTAGAAATAATAATAATAATAGTAATGATAAATAATACCTAGTACATGATTATTTTAATGATTTTATTATAATCATATTAGTTAAATATTCTGTGGTACAAACTAAAAGCTATCCACCTGCAGATATTATTAAATTATAATATAAAACTGCGTTTCTCAAACTTTTTTCATTCACTAATTAATGACTTTTCACCACTATACTATATACTCCAAATGTTAAAGTGTCATATATTTTCACTTTTTGTGCAAACATTTTTTAAATATTTCAAAAATAAGTTTTAATAGTAAAATAAGCATTTAGTTACTCAAATACTGCTGGACTATTTTGATCGCCCCAAATCAATATTTCGGCCATACTCCTAAACGATTCAACTAACAAAGTACGATTGGTATCCACAACATTTTGATTTTTGCTTAATACTGTATAGATATATCTGTAAACAAAATTAAACATAAATAACTATGTTTTAAAACAATTACTTATGATATTTTTAAACCAGAGGAATTACTTGAGATACTCTAACGAGTGAAGGTTTTCCGGTTTTACCAATTTTTTTGAGCGAAACATATTATTGCTTGTTTGAGTGTCTACAATTCATATCCAACTGTGTAATATTTCGATAGTGTTCAACATCAGTGTAGATTATCATTATTGTGATTAACTGATTCTGAGTTCACATATCTTGATTAAAATGTATCGTTGTGTAAACAAATCGAAAAAAGTGAATAACTTTGATTGTTACTAACGATATCAAAGTTATAGTTCGACACAAAGCTTAAGACAATTTTATTATCATTAATCGTTTCGAGCGGTCGAGGACACTACGTAGTACGTTAAAACTTTGTAAGAATATCAAATTCAAAACAATAACATTCCTAATCGGGGTGGTGGGAACGAGTTACGGCGCGCGGGCGTACAAATTATGTATTCCCTGATTAGGAAATTGATAACAAATGTGCGAGGTAACTTTTACTTTCGCCGATGCAGGTCCGTGTGAGATTGAACAGCTGATCGGCAGAATCTTTTTAAAATATTTTCACCTAAAAAAAAACTGTCTAAAAACGAGAAAAATGTAACTAAAAAATAATATATTAAATGAGGGTTTGACTTTGGGTGATCAAAAGTGACTAGAATGCGAGGATTCTAAATTCTGATAGCCGAACGGACAAGCCGCCGTTTTCGCCATGACGTTTCTTCCATGGAAAATGGTTTTTTTATGTTTTTTTTTTAATTATTTTATTTACCGTGGGTGGAATCACTGGAATGTCCTTGCACTTGCTAAGCCCCGAAATCACGACGTCCGACAACGACGGCAGCCACCAGTTTTGATATTTTCCGATGTTTGGTTCCCACATCAATAAAAATCATTTGGCGGCCAATAAAAACGATCTGTACATGTTAAACGATCACCTAACAGCGTGCACCGCGATTTCCCGGTAGGTAGTGTTCGGTTTCGGGTCGGCCGCGCAAAATGCAAGCCATCAAGTGTGTCGTAGTCGGCGATGGGTAAGTTTTATAACGTAGTAGGTACATAACGATACTTCTATTGTGTACATAAATATATTGTATGTACATGTGTTTGTGTTGTGTATTAAAAAAAAGAATAAATCCTCACACAATCTGGTACCATTTCTTCTCTGTACGCCCAATGACTGTCTTACGTTTACAATTCCCCGTTATCTCTGTAGTTTTTGGTCTTTTCCTAAGAGTGTTCAATGATTAAAGTTCTATAGTTATCGAGTGCCATCATCACACTCTAAGCTATATCTGTTTATTATAGATTTTGATATAAAGATATAAACATGTTGACAGTTGAGTCTATTCGTAAGCTTGTAATCATTTGTAGGTCTTATCCTCTATCACAGATGACTCTCATTATGCTTCCATAACATTACTTACCCAACTACCCTATATTCTTGAAGACATATATTTTGTCAATTATTTCAATTTTTTCCATTTACAAAAATTGAATATTTTTTGTCAAACATGCCTTGCACACCTGTTTGATTTTTACATTAATATTCAATAATAGTTTGTTAATATTGCACATTTTTTTTTTAAAATAAATATTATATTTATGTATACATAGATCTGTTTCTAATTAGTGTGAGTTCTGTACATCATTATTTTGTCCTTTTTACAGAGCGGTTGGTAAAACATGTTTACTCATTAGTTATACAAGCAATGCATTTCCTGGAGAATACATACCTACTGTGTAAGTAACTTAAAAACCTTTAATTAATCTTACAGATGTCCTGTTATTTATTTTATGTGTAATCTATAAAGTACATTTATTAGTTAACTTAATTAATTTCTCTGTAATACAATTATTGTGTTTTGGAATTGATTATCTTTGATAAGATTATAATTAGATTGGTTATGACCAGTAGATTATTATTATTAAATCCTTGAAATATATCGTTTTATATTTAAGTTTGTTCTGTTGAGTACACATTTATACATGTTTATAATATAGGTATACAATATTATATGTATTAAATACTAAAATTAACTACATTCCTGATAATAATAGTTGAAGATAAAAAATTACATGCTGAAAAACCATAATTACTTACCTCATATTTTATTATTTAAAATTATAAAATATGGTGTTAACATTTAAATTATAAATTATTATAAATATTCAAATCATATAATTTCTATTTATTAATTGTACTCACTATTATTTTAAAATTTTTTTCAAAATACATGTTATACCTTACATCATTTAATTCAATAAATTCATTATATTGATAAATCTTCAATCTTGATTTTATTTTGGTGTAAAATATAATTTTATGTTTAATAAATTAAATTAATATTATTTAATTTTAGATTTGACAACTATTCAGCCAATGTTATGGTCGATGGAAAACCTATAAACTTAGGATTGTGGGATACTGCTGGTCAAGAAGATTATGACAGGCTTAGGCCTCTTTCATATCCACAAACAGTATGTTTATTTTTCAGTTATTTTTATAAAAAAAATGTTAACATTTTACAAGATATGATAAATATTAATTTAACATTTTTGCATATTTTTAATCATAAATTTTACTTTTTTTAACAGGATGTGTTTCTTATATGTTTTTCACTAGTAAATCCTGCATCATTTGAAAATGTGCGGGCCAAAGTAAGTTAATAGTAAAAATTATTCTTTGATATATATTTAATTAAAATAATACATATTTTTAGTGGTATCCTGAAGTTCGACATCATTGTCCAAGTACTCCAATTATTTTAGTTGGTACAAAACTTGATTTACGAGAAGATAAAGAAACAATTGATAAACTAAAAGAAAAAAAGTTAACTGCTATTACATATCCACAGGTACATATTTATTGTTTACCTATATTAATTAACCTTTATCTAATTAGTTTATTAATTATTTATTTTTAGGGTTTATCAATGGCCAAAGAAATTGGAGCAGTAAAATACTTGGAATGTAGTGCTTTAACTCAAAAAGGTTTAAAAATTGTTTTTGATGAAGCCATTAGAGCAGTTTTATGTCCTGTACTGCCAGTTAAGCCAAAACGTAAATGCACAATAATTTAACAATCATGACTATGTTGTCACTGGTGAGTTAATTTATTATCTTAAAATTAAAATTTTTCAATCGTGAATTTTGTATGGTTAGGCTGTAGAGTTTTTTGTTTATTATTGTAATACCTATTATAAAAAAAATATATCGGTGATAATGTTTTAAAATTAATCATTTTTCTGGCATTCAAAATTGAAGCTTATTTTATATATTTATGAAATACTTAGGGACTTTAAATCCAAATGGAGGATTGTCCAAGACTGATAACTGTCAGTTCACCGATCGATACACATTTTGTTGGCGTATAACAACTAACAAAAAACAAAAGTTCTTCCTGCAAAATAATAGAGCGCACATAATAATTAAATTATGTAATATAAAGTATGATAAGAAATTTATATATTAACTAGGGACCTATAATGCTGTTGAACAAACTTATGGCCTAATTTTATAGTCTAATCATGTAATCTATAGCTTAATCATTTTTATAAAGAAAAAATAATATATATATATTTAAATAATCCATAAGTTAATTAATTCTCTAATTGTAAATTAATACAAACCAATTTCCATTGTGAATTTTTTTTTTTTTTTTAATTATTTTACAATTTATTTTCTATTAAGTTGCTTGGTGCTACTTACTTTCTGTATCTTTTAATATCACTAAAAAAATTTTTTACTCTCTAATGACATTGCCACAATATATGTTACTGTGTATGGTAATAATTTATAATTAATATAAAAAAATTAAATCTACAAAATACCATCATACATTTTGAATACATTATAGTTACATGATAAATTGAATAATGTTGGTAATTTATTCTCAATTGTAAAAATATAAGCTAAGTGATGTAATATTGTTACAGTTCAATAGTAGCATGGTTATTTTAAGTTAGGCTGTAATCAAAAAATTATTTATTTATCTCTTAAGCTTTATGGATTTAAAATATAAGCACTGTGTGCTTATTATTATTTTCAATTATTTATCATGTATAACTGACATAAATGCATTTTCCAGTGGTTTAGAGTATAAAATATTGTGTATATAGAAATTATATGAAATATGTACAAAAGCAACAAAACCTATAGTATCATTTTTGTAATATTTGTTATGTCTAAAAAAATCAGAATTTTAATGTTATTTTTTACTGAGTTTCTTTATAAAATGTTGTTGGACCTACTAGACGCATGATATTTATTATACAGTCATGTGTTTTTTTTTTTTTTTGTACGATATTCATTTTTTTTTCTTTTTATTTTAACCTTGTAATTTCTAAATAAATGATATATCTTGTGTAAAAAAAGATAGTTACTTTTATTTTTCAACCCTATGTTTATGACTTTAAAGAATGTAGTCATTACTTTCATAAATAAATGATGTTTTATTGCATTTTTAATTTATATTTTTTATTACTAATTGAACATTTGTATTTCTTCTTTATTAATGTCTAATATATTTAAGAATACTTTATTATCCTTTATACCTTGAATAGCTTATTATGATCATAGATCTGATGCGAATTATTTCAAAATTGTAACTGATAATTAGCAAAATGTATTAAATAAATTAATCTGGGACCAGTTAAAAATGTTTGTTTGTTAATTGAAAATTAAAATTGTGGAAAATTAATTAATTCACTATGATTTATTTTACATTTTGCATAATATGCTAATAAATAATAGTACTATATATTATATATAGATACATAACAATCCATTAAGTATTTGTTTTAAGCTATTACAATTTTACAAGACTCCTTTAATAACCTTTTGTCTTTAAAATAATTCCATTTTTTTATTATATTTATACATTATATTATTACTAATTATTATTTTATATTATTTTTAAATTAGTTATTTATTTTGTTACTTTAATTCAAATTATTTGTTCTGTGTACCACTACAATTAAAATTTTTAATTTCAATGTTATTAACTTATCAAATAAATATAAAAGTACTGAAATTTAGATCAGTTTTGAAAATTTAATATTTGGTTAAAATACTTAATTTACCTGTTACCCAAATTATTGATATCAAAACAATAATCAATTATGGTTTACCCATAGTTATTAATTGTGAATGTGGAAGTGAATATTAAGTCCATGTTTACAATTCATCTTAAAAAATGTATGACAAAAGTTTATGTATTTTATTTTGAATATATTTTTAGGAGTAATATTATCATGTCTAAAAATGAATAATTATTATATTAGTATCTAAATTTAAATTATTTTTAGTAAAGAAAAATGAATATTCTCTTGAAAGATTTATTATTCTCTCATTTTAATGCTTATTTATATAGATTAACATAAATCATTTGGGATGATAATTATATTTTTAGATTTTTCATCAATGCTTATTTGTAATAACTAATAAGTAATAAAATAATAATAATTGGATATATAACATTTACCATACCCAGTTCACAGTCCAATTAAAGTTCACTTCTGGTATGCTCGTCTGCTGAACTATGATTTATACTGGTTAATGTCTTGCTAATAATTAATATATGCCATGGATATTGCCAACAAATTCAGCAGTTATAATTAATATGAGTTGCAACATAATTTTGTTCGATAATGATTAATGTTTAATGTTTATACAGTTTTCTTTAAATTTGGCTAATGATAATTGTTCTATTGTAAAATAAAGAAATAAATGTAATGAAAACAAAAGTTGCTGACATTTCAACGAATGAAAATTTTTTTAGAGTTCGTATTTATATTGATAAATCTATTCCTCTATACATTTATTCCCGCCCCCGCTGTCATAATGTCATACGTAGATATTGGTCATTGCCCATTGGATATTCCACTAAATTTGTTATACCTATATCTCGGCACAAGACAGAGTTTTAGTTTATAATTTGTATTGTTATCTTAAACTTTGAAACAATAATAAATCATTTATTACATTCTGACTTTATCAATTTTCTAAAGTATGTGCCGAAATAAATAAAATATTGTGATTTAATAAAAACGTATTAAGTGTAGGTATAAGTTGAAATAATCAAATATGCAGTATCAAACTTTAAATCAAATTAATATATACTGTTTTGTAAAATTTTACAGTGATAAACCTAAGCTGATTAATTATTATTTTCAATATGAGATTATTTTAAATACATTGTCTATACCCGTTTGTTTAATTTTTATTAAACAATCTCGTTGAAAAAAAAAAAAAAATTAAAACGATAATCTATTACAACTAATTTTGCGATAGCGTATTACATATTTATCTTCCAAACTAGTATCCATTAATATTTAATACCGGTGCTCGACTGAGAGCAATAGCATTCGTTTCCTATTTCCTGTTTAAGATATCAAATATTTATAATATTTATATTTTGAAGTTCGTCTTTTATTGTGCTGTAATAAATATTATTGTTTTGTTTGTTAAAAACAGCGTGTAAATACGGAAAAGTGAAAATCTCTGTACATATATTAATAATACACCGATTTTAAGTTTCATCTTAGGTATTATTTAAATATTAATTCCGAAAATGAGAAAGTTTTGGACCAAGTATAAAAATAATTTTTATGTTTATTGTTTAATATCTTCTTGTGTTGAATAAAAAACTACATTTTTTATTTCATAAGGACTTGTGTATCGCCGACCACCACCTATACTAACCAGTCACTGAAAAAATAAATGGTTTTTAAAGTTTAAAAAGACTTTTTTTTAATTGTAAATTATTAAATTAGATAATATTGCTACCTACGTAATTACTAATAACATTTACTATTCGCCATCTGTTCCACAATTCAAAATGGACCAAACAGCATAACCTAGACGGCTAATGTCATCTACAACCTTATCTTTAAGTATTTATAAATTATCGATTTCAGAATATCAATTAATAATAATCAAAAAAATTCATTCGTGAAATGACATAATAATATGATGCATAAAAAATGTATTTACATAGTGATTTCGTGTGTTGTGTCCGCCGTCTTATACTACCCAACTCAAAATTATATAAAATACCTAGTTACAATTTTATGTTCAGAATTAATTTCCCTCTGTTATTTTGTGATATTAGTATGAATTAACCTATAATTAGATTGAAATGTAAGAATAAATTCCAGTGACCCACCTTGTTTTTTTTTTATATTTCAATTATTATTTTAAAACAAGTTATGAGCATTTCATTGTATAAGTGCGCGAGTACGGCCGGCGCCCGACCGCCACACGAATTGGCGATTTTTTCACATAATTATAAACGCTCGCGTATTTTTATTATTTATTTCATAAATCTAAAATCTTTCAATCAAGTCTGACCAAAATCTCGTAACATTTTATCGGCGAGGTGCGATCGGTATTGCTCTAATCATTGGTATCCACTTTCTTTAAGCTACCTATAAAATTGTATACGCACTTGGTAGAAACTTCAGACTCTATCTATAATATAATATCAGTAATTTTAGCCATCGCGAGCTCGTATAGCAATACAAATATGTAAGTATTTCAAGCCTGGACCCATCGGTTTGTACTTATAGCGGCCGTTATTCCAATGCTATCTGTTTAAAAGTCGAAATCTATTCGAAGACGAAGTCGTTCACACGACTTCTTGCGGGTAAAACGAGTTAGTTGACGATAAAATTAAAAAAAACTTAGCAATTTTCCTTTTTTCTTCCGTGACTGGGAATAGGTAGGTATATCATAAATTTAGCGCGCGCGCGCGTCGTAGGTACTCATATAATATAATCGAATATGATACGTAGTATTGAATTTAACCGGAAAGCATTTATGTTATAATAATGTTTTCAAGTTAAACCACACGCATAGACGCATGTCGCATAGTACATCATGTATATCTGTATAATTATATAAAAATAAATTTACTTGTTTATTGTTTAGTTTACATTTAAACGAGTAGGTACCTCAAAATGTCTACTGGCGATCATTTGAAATTTCTTATTTGAATATGTTTGCTCTTATAACATGCGTAAGCACCTATACAAATACTAGCTGAGTACTCAACTGTACCTATATACATACGAATAATTGCATTTTAAAATATATTACTATTCTTTCTCGTATTGCGACATTTCACGTTTTGTGAGTATAAATGGTCAACTGGCAATTTGTTCTCAAAACCATTGTAATACCGTGACCTATTGGTTTGGCGTTACCTATCCAATAGTATGAACTCGATTATACCCTTCGCTAAAAACAAATACGTCTTATAAATTCATTAGGTAAAATGTAATATTAAATCATATTATTGTTACAGTTAAAATATGATTATTAGTCTTAATTGACCTAACCGTGAGTTTTGTTTATCAGTGGTTAAAAACGTAAAATGTTAAAACGGTGTTACGTACAAATAATAAATATATCTATTTTAAAATATCTCATTGAGACCACTCACTAATTTATTGCATAATATACGTTATCATTGCGTGTTGTACGTAGTTATTAGTGTTATTATTCGGCATTGTTGAGAGCGGCTTCGTTTGAGATTTTTAGGCAAAGTCCTTACACATCCTAGAGGTGATTTCAAATTATCGGCTTTGACCTGAAGTGGTGCAGTGAACACGACTGTTTTGTTTCCGTGCCGCTAGTTTACAGTAGACGTTTGAAGTAAAAAATTTAATTACTTATCTAAATTTCCGGTGAAATGTAATTAAGTAGAGTACTTATGTAGTAGTACCTAGATGTAAATATAGCCTATAGGCTATAACTTGTGAAGTTTTACAACTTCGAATATTAATAACAGCGCTTATAGACACGCCAAGTGTACCTCTACCTGCTATCCCGCCCGTTATGATTAGCAAGTATTGCATATTGCCTACAGACTTTATTATAATATTATTATGTATATTTATTTTATTGCCTATACTTGAACAAAAAAACTTAACACCATAATATTATATATTTATCAAGTACACCACCAGAGCGTATACAAAAATTAAACAATTTTGAATGAAATATAAATTCATACTACTTAAATATATATATATGTATATAATCTTATGATAAGCATTATTCATGAACTATAAAAACTTTTTTTTGTACAAAAAAAATTAAGTTTATGTAAAAAGAAACATCGATATAGTTTAAAAAAAAATAATTTAATTAATCACATGACTCCGTGAAATAAGTTAAAAACAAACTAACAAGAGTAAAAACTCTAATTTTTAAATTCAAGTTAAATTTAAGCAACATTAGGTAGGTACTCCGAAATTCAATGCTATGTAAAAATAAAATATTTGCTTAAAAAGTAAATACATAGGTATTATATAAAAATACTTTTGAATAGTTTGGAGGTAGGTAGATGCTCGATGCTTAAAAAACTCAATTAAAATTTACCTTAAATATTCCAACGACGCATTTATACGTGACTTGATGTAAAAAAAAATAAAGTCATAGACATTCCCGTAAATCTATATGTAAGTATAAAGATGTAGACCAGATTATATCGCAGCAGTAATAATCAATCGTCGATCAGCTTGAGAAATACTTCTTGAGCGTAGCACATAATAATTAAGTATCACGTCGTAATAATTATGTTTAATTTAATTAAACCGTGTTACGTAGGCTGTCCTATAATAAGGTATAAAAATATATTGTAAATAATGAAAAAATAATTTATTAGGTACTTTAGAACATTTACAGGATAAAAATTAGACATATTTTTCTATTTTTTTTTTTTTTTACATAGTCACCATTTAAATTGATGTATTTTTTCGATCGATACAATAACTTAAAAATTCAATCTAGGAAATACGCAGTATATTTCCATCGAAGTATTCAGTAACTGCGTTCAAGACCTTCTCATTCTGAAAATGAGTTCTTACCCTAAGTACTTTTTTAACAGACCAAACAAAAAAAAATCTCAAGGTGTCAGATCAGGGCTATATATGGTGGGTGTTACAATAATTTCCAACTTGTATTTTCCCAGTCACGCTTTGGTTTTTCTTTTTGAATGCAGGGTTGCATTGTTATGCAGCAGTTGCTCAGTTCTTTAACATAATTGTCCTCTCCTTTTGAAATACATTTTTTTTTTCAAAATTTCTAACGTTTCAATGTAACAGTCAACATTTATTGTTTCATTTTTTGATAAAATGGCGATCGGTAAAATTTCCAGCGCATCCCAAAACATAATAGCCATTACTTTTTTTGAAGAAATTGTTTGCATTTTTTTGGAACCGATGATTTGGTATGCTTCTGGGCGGCCGTAGAGTCTCGTTTGTTGCAAGGAGTAGGAACCCATGCTTCATATCCTGCAATAATGAGGTGCTCGAGGAAGCTTTTGTCATTATGAGCACGATTCAAATGCTCTAGGGATATCCACATGTGTTTGTTTTTGTGATCTGCGTTAATCATTTTAGGAACCCAACGTTTACAGACCTTGCGAAAATTTAATTCATCATGTGCAATTGTACACACAGTAGTTTTTGGAAGATAAAATCGTGTGGTCGTTTCCCGAATTTTAAGTCGTCTATTCAATCGTAGTAGTTTTTTTGACCACCCCAATGGTTTTAGTGGTAAACGTGCTTGTTGGTCGACCTCTCCTTGCCGCCTCATCATCAACACTTTCTAGACCGGAATTAACTTTTGTACACCCAACTGATACACTTTTTCGAGACATTACGTGTGGGCCATAAACTTTGGTTATATTGTGATGAATTACAGTCGGAGAAAAGTTTTGAAAATTCAAAAATCGAATTGCGGCATGGACTTATTTTGTGCAACTTAAAAAATTAATTTAACATGCTTATTATTACGCAGCTGACGGAACACTAAATTATAATAATTGTAACACTTAAAATAAGTCGTTTGTTACTTAAATAATTATCAATTCTGGAAATTTTTTTTTCCGATATAAACCATTGTTTACAATACTTATGCAAATAACCTTGTACCTTATTTATCGGAAACCCTACGTGGCTACGTATATTAAAACATGGCATTGTCGTTTATTTAAATGTATACAATATCTGAACTTCGATTGTATCGTCTAAAAATAATAATTTAAAGTTTATATTGATTAAAGGCTCGGGCACACAGAACGCGGTCTGCGATCCGGTTGTATTATTTACAGAGGCCGTGCGATCAGCCTACCTGTTGCCTGTGACCTGTGTGCCGGAGTCTTAAATAAATTACTAGGTATATAATAATATAATATGTATATGCAGAGATATAGTGGGATGATCCTCCAAAATATTTAACCAATATTATATGTTCTCGCTATTAAGCTTAAAAGATATTGATGTAAATGTGCATATCCAACATTCTGATGCTGCAGATTACTGGTTAAGTAAAAATAAAGGCATAAAGCAGAAAAGTAGATAATCCCTCAGCTATGCAGTGGTACATAGTCGTCATTTTTATGATTTATTTATATGGTTATTATGGTATAATTTATTTTACTGTTGTAGACTGTAGTAATGTGGTATAAACACGCGTAGTCTTAAAATGAATCTTAATACTTTGAAAATTTTATCACGTAAATAGTAAAATGCAATGAATAATTATATACGTACACATTTCAAGTCCCCGTGAATGTTTTTGAATTAGATCTTTTACTAGACCTACAATTTACTTTGTTACGTTTACCAGTTATCCGTTAACGCATATATGCGGGTGCGACGTCCGTTTAAGATTTAATATTATATTGATTAAGAGGATGTAAGCGCACTGTTCGTTTTCTCTCTCTGGTTCTCGCGTAACATTGTACACTTAACGCAGAATCATTTTTTTTTTTATATATATATTTTTGAATAATTTTAGAGTAAAATTACTTATAAACAAAAATTATAGAGAATAATATTTTTGAGGATATGACTTATTGATTTGTCTAAATATTGTCTTAAAACAATTTTAAACACCATTTAAATTTATAATTTTTTTTTTTTTATGTTAAAAGTTGAATACTAACTCAAATAATAATAAAATATAAAACCGATATATTGTGTTTAGCCCTCGAAAATATTATTCTCTACAATTGTTATAACATGTATTGTTACTCGATATGATTACATAAAAACATCAAAAAAATAATTCTGCGTGAATGCGTTTTGTCTACACTATGTGTAGGCTAAAGAGAGAAACAATAGTGCGTTGATATTCTCGTTATAACTTAATGGAAAATTTAAATCGAAAAGTATTAAAAATCCGAGAAAGTTGTTACGAATCTATGTAATGATAAAAAGAAAAAAATCAGATTGTTTACCGTTCTCGGGTGAGCTTTTTAAATGTTTGTCCAACTTGTACCTACAGGCTTTTTTATCTATTATTAGTTACTTATATATTGTATTATTTACTTATACATATTATGCTCGTAGTAATAATACGCCTCTGTGATCGGTCGATCTGAAATTGTATACGGTTTACAATAAGTCTATTTTCTGTGTAATAATAAAACGTTGCTTAAAGTCTCGTAATTGAATTTCTCCATAATTACAATTTGTAATATATTTGCATAATTAAAATACATCTTTAACGAGTTCGGTGATTGCCATGTTGCTTGCGCATTTATAATGTTCACTCGTTTGATGATCCGATAGAGGTACGGCGGCGACACGCAAGGATTACAAATAACAGTATAGCTATATAGATATACGTAATATAATGTGGTATCCCACTGCATCGTGTTTGATGTTGTCTGACGTTTTGACGTTTATGACGCGTTGTCAACTCCGATAATGGCCGTCGAACCATATCACACGGTCGGCCGAAAGGTCGCACGTTGTTTAGTAGGATGGCCAGGATGCCCCGCTAACCATCAACACTAAATTATGGAACTAAATTAAAATTAAAGCAAATATTAGAAGACTATGTCACCTAATACATACATAGTGATAATATTTATTTATAACTACTATTATTATAACAATATTATAGTTGACTCGGAAATAATTGTAACATCTAAAAATAAATATTTAATAAACAAAATCAAATTTGTTCAGCCGTAGATGTGGTCAAGTACTCAACTGTGTACAGTGTACACTAATTATTTCGAAATGTAATTAATGTACTTTTAACTTATAAGATAAAACAACAGCTGATACTCGCGTTCAAAGTAATTCGAGAAATCTACTTTTTTTCCGTATATACCTACGTATTACCTCAGACGGCTCGAACGGATATCCTAATATCTACCTACCTAATTTTACGTTTCATAATCAATCTAAATACTTTGTACAAGAATATTATAATTATTTTCTGAAAGCAACATTTTAATATTTAATTTATGTTTATTTTTAATAGAAAATACCACTTTTTCAATCATTAAAATAAACGTTTGATTAAAATATTAATATATTATTTAATTTTTCACTTAATTGTTCATTGCAATTGAAATAATTATAATAATAACAACCACAACAACAATAATATATATAATATATATATATATATATATATATATATCAGTATTGTGTTCACGTACCTTTATATGCGTAAATAATTAGATTAAATATAACTTGATAAATCAATGAAAAATTAACGGGATTTTGATTGATTGGAATTTGGATTTCCGCCTTTTTTCTCAGCTTAAAACTGGCATAGTGGTGTTACCGAATACCTAAATAATTTATTGCTGTCGCTGCATTATTACTTTTGACGTTATTTATATTAATATATGAGTATGTAATGAATACATCGCGTATAGATATACATAATACTAAGAATTATTTACAATTCACGTTGTTCATTCATGTACAACACACAATATAATTGTGTCAAGTTTAATAAATATTACGTTTTTATTAAAGTGATAACGTAATTTCATAAAAATGGTTAAACAAGTAAATAATATGTATGTAATCCAATTTGTATATTGTATAGCTCAATGAAAATTGAAATGCTAGATTTTATACATTGAACATTTAAATAAAAAAAAATACAATCAATCTATAAGCGTAGAAAATAATTTATTCTACAAAATATTGTCGTATAGACTTGAAATACAATATATTATTATGTATTTTAATAAATAAATAAATAAATAAATATAAATTTATATTTATATAATATATATACATAAATATAATTATATTATAAATTAATTAATAAATAGTGAAAAAATCTTAACACTTAATCAGCCATTGAGTACGGTTGAACTCCATTTCTGAAAAACATAATAAAAAATGATGATGAAAAAAAGTTTACAACATTTTCATTTTACGATTGTATTCCGATTTTATATTATAGCGTTTTACAGGTAATTTTTTTTATTACACCTTAGTCCTTACAAGGTGTTAACGGTTTCCTAGTAAATAATAAAGCAATCATTTATTTCAGAGGGTATATATAATATTGGTACGTCCTTTTTAAAACTGTATGGATTTTATCCTCACGCATTTTATTATTATTATTGTAACCGTAAAAAAATCTGGAAGTCAACGACACGTTTTTGAGTTTAACGTCAATACCCAAAACGCTGTAAAATATAAAATCCAACAAAAACGTGTTTAAACAGTACCCCTATTATGTAAACTATTCGCATGCACTAGGGTTGCGCGAGGAGAAAAAATAGAAAAAAAAATAATTTGGTACAACGCAAACCGACAATATAATGTTATTATTATGTCTTGTATGATATTATGGATAGACGACAAAAAATGGATAATGATTAATGGTATGGACAGTGATGTGTTATCTTGAACGAACTACTGTGACGAAAACTTTTACCGCAATCTTCGGTTTTTAAATGAAAATTAAAGCATAGTACAGCTATTGTAAATAGTTAATAGATTTTACACTGATGTGACTGATGGTAAGCATAATAATTATTATGCGCTCTACGAACGTTTAACGAACAATAATTATCGTAAGAGGGTGACTATACGTGATTGACGATTGTACAGTCACTAATTCACTTTAATATAATATACTTCCGGGCAGCCGATACTTATTATTTTATATACTATTAAAATTTACTTGTATTCCGGAAGTCGCGTGTGCGCCGTAAACATGATTTCAAGACGGTCATAGGGGTTATAATTTAATGTCTATATACATCATACGCTATATAGAATTATTTTGTCGAAGAACATTAGTTACTTCAAAAACTATCCCCTTTGTTAAAAACAGATTTTTTGTACATTTTAAGGCTATTTCAAAACAAGGTTTTTGAAAAGTAATTATATTTTCACAATTTTTTTATCGTTATTATTTTTTTATTGCTTTAATTTTTTGAATAATAACATAAATTGCGTACAATTTTTACTAATATTATTTTTTACGACCCTCTGTCACGTCTCTCACTTCTGCTTTACCACGATTTAACTAATAATATCGTTGTATAAATTAATTCTTGTTAAATATAATTTTACTACCAATTACATAAATAATACTACAAATACTACTACTACTACTACAACAACAACAACAACAACTACTATTACTTCTACTACTACTACTACTACTACTACTACTACTACTACTATTACCACTACTACTACTACTACTATTACTAGTAATAATAATAATAATAATACTAAATACGTACCTACATAAACTTTGATATAATGATATATTTTCTATTCTATGATTGTGTTATTGTTACAGTATTGTGTTAAGTGGGCGGAAAATCGAGATTATGCAGTACACTTACAATGGTGTAATCAGAGGATTTAATAATTTTATGTTTAAAATTCAACTAAATACGTCATATATTCTAGTAATTAATCCTTTATAAATGGTCTAGGGCCTAGGCCATTGCATTTTTTGCGCTCTCTATAATAATATTATAACACAGTATTAGTGTAAACCTCCAATTATTATAAGAGGTCTGAGATCCTATATTTTAAGGGATGGTTAAAAAATGTTTGATAAGACTACCAATAGTCTTGACGTAGTGTTGTTGTATTATTCGATGGTTTATTGGTTAGATTCGATCAGTCTATTCTACCTATAGTACAACTCCCCAGAAACATTTCATGGTGCTTTTATCAAACATGATAATATAACACGATAAATAAGATTATTATATAAGTCGTATTATTTTGTGTAATTAGTTTATTGATCCATTGAAGATGTCATGTAACACAAGAATTTAATTTTTTGTCGCTTTTTCCGAATTGTGTCGCTAATTTCTACTAACCAGTATTTTTTCAACGGTGTTTGATATATTATATTATAGTACCAATTGAAAAATAATATTATTCACAACTGGTGAATTAGTCCATAGACAGGTATAGTACATTTATAAAGATATTGTACTTTGAATAAAATAGCTCAGAAGTATGTTAATAGGTTTCTACGAATTAAATTAATGTAAAGTATATACAATAATATTAAAATGGTGTTTACTGTCTAAAAATAATTATTTGGAAATCATTATACTCAAGAATTCTGCGAAGAAGAATATGTGTACTGATAATTCAGTAGATACATATTCAGTAGGTACATATTATAAAACCACCCTAAACCAGAGTGGATTTGGCGAGCGCATTACTATAGTTGCATTAGTAGTTAGTAGGTAATATAATATTGTACATAATATTATTGAGTAAAACATCTACTTACGGATACCTCCCAATACCCAATAGTAGACATTTTTGCAGAAATGAGGACATTTTCATTACTTTTCAATATAAAAGCCTCCAAATAGTGAACTCGCCGAATGGCAGACACATTTTTAATATTAATTTAAAAATAATGACAAAACTCGTTCAAAAACCGATTTTCCACACTAAATTGAATTGTATTTATTTATATTCCTTTTTTTTTTTTTTTAAATGTGTATTGTTGAAATATAAAAATTATTATATCATTAAGAGATTTAATAATAATACTATAATTTGATTTACCCTACTATATATTTTTTTCTATTATATATTTATCCTTTATGAGTTTCAAAAATTTACCTCTTCTGAATAGCGGACGAAATTTTTGTGACTAAGAGTGTCCGCTATTCAAATGTTTTATTGTTGAAATAAAATTAATAATATCGTATTCTATTGCGTTCAAAAGATAATAAATTTTAAATCATGTAAAGATATATATTGTCGGTGTGTAGTCAAAACATAGCCAATCACGTAACCAGAGGAGGACGTTTCGGTAGATATATTTTGTCTTACGAAAATTGTATTTTCATGAGGAATTATTCTACCGAGTCAAAGTAATTTTTGTCTTTTGATAGCATTTTAAATCATTTTTATCATGACGTGACGTTTAAAATATGGAGATTAAATTATTTTACTCAGTGATTGTTTGGGGGCCTGACATTTTACACTTATATAAATTATAACAATATAAAATATAATTATCAAAGTACCGTCGCAAACATGACGGGTGGTCGAACAACACACCTACTATGGTTTAGAGGCCGCGGTTTTTTGCGGGACCGGTTGCAACATGGACTTCGTGGCGAACGCCAGTTTCTGCGATACGAGGTGGGCGATCATGTTGGACCGTTTCCACATGTACTCCCTAGTCTTGTCGTGGTCGTCCGGGCTGTTAATCTGCAGCTAAAACCGTTAAGCATTAACGTTCGGCAAAAACATCTCGTTTGGGTCCCTAACAGAGCGATAATATGGACAAAGCACGCGCCCGTCAACCATGCACCGCATGCACGTGTTATGCCCACTAGTTGCTCCCTCGATTACGGTTTTGTTGTTGTGATTTTTATCATTATCGTTATTAATGAGGCGACGAAAAATAGCTTAAAATACGCGCACATATATTTTGGGCACGAAAATCGACGCAGCATCTGCACCAATAATATTACCATGACGCGTGCCCGATAAGTTAAGGATGGTATTTTTAATTAAAATATATTTGTGTGCGCAAAGACCTTCGATTATACGATTGCACGGAGATTTTATTTTTATGAGGCGGGTGACGTAAAGTAATTAAATATTTGATTTGTTTTTGGGGAAAAATAAGGTAAATGTACATGCGCTCAGATTATATATACATATATAAAAAAAAAATAACAGTTATAATCTTTAATGATTATTTCCAATATTAGATTTAGATATCATGAAATATAATTGTTCATTCGATTTTGACGGGTTTTAGAATTTGAACGAATAGAAGGAGTAATATAACATGCGTATCGTTAAATGTTAAAATAAGTACGTTATTGTTTCTAATATGTGTATGTATTTACTGTTTCCATGGTTTACGTGTAAAAATGAAGATACGACGGTCATTTTGAAAAACAATTTTTCAGCGTTAACCGCAGCAGTGATTCAGCGTTGCATAGTGCATAAGTAAATATCACCACGGTTTCTTTATAATATTATGACCGCGTGATATCGTAGTACATTATAATATGTATGAAATAAAATAATAAAATCCGTATTTTCTTAGACACGCGCGCAAAAAACTTCAACAGCCACATCCCATCCCGCCAAGTAACAACTAATATTAATTATAGATATGATATCTAGCCCGTCACCGCAATTAAATATTAAATATTTATAACACAATATTAATGAACATAGATGACATTAATAGTGTTATATTATATTAATAATATTATTATTATTATTAGTTTTGTCGGAAAATATTGTCGTGTACTTGTTTTGGCTGGTGGACGCGGATGGAGTGCAACGTAGCAGCTCCGCCGGTAAGCACTCGCATGTTAAGTCGGCCTACCAGTTCGCCAGTGGTGGCGGTCGCCGATCTCAGCTCTTTTTTGGCACCTCGTCCGAACTATGAAAACACAATACAAATCGAATTAATAAACTACGAAGATATTTTATCACGATACAATATTAATACATAGGTATTATAATGCAAGTTGTTTATTGATTGGAAAATCAGTGACCTTAGTTCACGATGTATTGAAATTATTTTAACAAATTTAACACAATATACATGATTCAATGACTTCTCTTTTATCACAACTGTCATAAAAATAGTCAAAAATTCTTAAAAAGGGATACCGACTTTTCAATCAATTGACAAACTGTACATTATAAAAATTGTTTAGATTATTTTATGTATAGCTGCAAGACTATGTATTATTATAATATATATTATTGAATAGTTTATTGAGTGTACAATATATAACTATATAATATATCATTCAAACATTATAATATTTAGAGCTTGGAACACTTGGAACACACATAATTTACGTAGGCGACTACTCATTTCGAGTAATTTTAAAAAGAAATAAGTTTTTCTTCCATTTGTTACTACTACCTTAAATGCTATTTTCTGATTTATAGCTCTAAGTACTGGTACTTTATACTTTTAAACTTTAAAAATAACAAAGCATATTTTGTGGAAAAAACGAGTACATATTTATTTGTCAACTTCACGAGAATTCAAAACGTTAAAACAACTTATCAAAAATGTATACATTGCAAGTCACGATATTTTTAGCGACATTGTTCTCCAACTGTTCACCAAGTTTAAAATATCATATCTATTGGCTAATATACAAGATATCGAACGTATCTAAGTTTATAATAACACAGTTTTGGCGCATTAATAAGAGTTTAAAAAGCACTGTAACTTTGAAAACTAATCTAATGCTACAACAATAGACACAATTTGAAGAAAGTTGCTAATTTGCTGTAAAATTCACGATCTAAAAATTAGCTGAAAAATACTTAGGCTAACCTAATCTGTATGAGCTTTACAGCTTATACAGTATATAATGCTATGTAACTATGTAGAATCATGTAATATATAGTATAACGCGTAAGTATAATTTAAACAGCTATACTACAATACTATATACCATTAAATATTACATTTTTGATAAGTAAAAATGTATACTATATAGACAGTATTAAACAAAATAAATTTATTTTATTATATTTTGTATAGTCACCATTATACTCAAATTGTAGTTAATATTATGTAACAAATGAGTCGTGTACAGGGCGTTTTTATTAGATCCCTTCAAAGAGACAACAATATAAATAGCTAGTATAATATAATATCTAGTCGACATGTATTATTTAGTTATTATACTAAAATTTATGTAAATTTATCTCGGAGACGACGTCTGTAACAAAATTACTCTGTACGCGGAGCTAATAGAAATTTAACATCATAGAACGGTTTGTTATTTTGACGCACACAATATTATATTTTGTATAAAACATATTAAACTTATTAGGTACATATCCGTACAGCGACGTTGTATACACAATAATAAATATATTATGTATACAGTATTCACGAGTCCGGCGTGGCGAAGTCTAGAGAAATATAAAATATATGAATTTTTGATATTGCAGTAGCATTGTAAAACCTGTAACATAGCTCGTTAACGATAACATGCACTTCGGTTGTTGTTCGGTGACGGTGACGGTGGTGGTGGTGGTGGTGGCGCTAAGATTTATGATCTCAAAAATATCAGACCCGAAACGCTTTATCCGGCGTATCACCCGCAACGCAATTTACACCAAAGCCGACGCGCCGTAAAATTCCTACGTTTTTTTCCCCTTTAGATTTTATTATTTTTTTCACCCCCGAATAATTCAGTTCGTTTAGGTACACGTAGAACTTTTCAGTCGAACCCTATGTGCTGCCACATGTATTATAATATAATATGAGTAACACATTAAGTATAATGCTATAATGTAAAATAAAGTGTTTTATAATACCGAATTTCAAAAACTGGATATAGTTAAATATTGCGACACGCCGATTATCGCTTGTCAATAGGTATAAAAATTAATATCGTGGAGTTCAGATAATATACAAAATATGACGTAAGATATAATATCTATTAAAATTATGTCGAATTTTATTTACCATTAATTTTTTGTTTAACTTTGCTAAATATATTACCGGTTTAGACTACATTATATTACATTTTAAAAATGAAATACTACTTTCTAAAATGCTAACAAATTAATATAGGTTAAAATGTTTTATTTATAAATATTCTTTAAATATTTTGCTTCCCTTTTAAAAACTTTTTTTTTTACTTTGTTTTCTCTCTCTCTCTCTTTCTCTCTCTAAACAAAAAACAGCTTTTTAATATTTCAATATTTCACAATATCATCTTAAATGACATTTTATACAAACATTTTGTATGGAGTACAAAACTAAATAAAATTGGTTCTTAATTTCTTATCATTTCATTTTAAAAAGTAATAAGTTATAGTTTGGAGTAAATAAAAATATAATTTTTTTATTTGTGCAATATTTCAATATAATATATTACTAATATTACACTCGACTTATCTAACTAAAAACATAATAAATTGAGGATTTACAGAATGATTTATCATAAGTGAAAGATAACGATTGTTCCATAAGATTATAATATAAACAAAATATTATTTTGAGGTACCGTTAGATCACTGCTTCCTCTTCAAGTTAATCATGTGAACCTTCTTTTTCTTACCACGTGCAAAAATATATTTATTGTTTTACTTTGTAAATATCTTATTTAAATAAAAATAAATAAAGATTATAATATTTTAATTTAATTTAACTCGTATTGTTAGAATGGAAAATATTATGAGTTAAAATACATTTTTGTAAAAATGTTACCCTTTTTCTTGAGCATTTTATCGACATACGAACTTTGTATTCCTTGTTATTATACCAACCAATAGTATAAATTACTTTGAAAAATTTTTAAGAAATATATTTTGTCTACTCAAATCAAGAATACCGAATTAATAATTAATTAATATGGAATTATCGTTCAATTTCGAACAATTTTAGATAAATATCAAAACGGTCAATAGCAATCAATAATAAAGCACGCTCTATTTATTTTTATGGGGTTTTCAGTTATTTTCTTTTAAAAAAAAAACTACTTGAAACTCTACACTGCGGGCGCCTCGAAGTATTAAGTGTATCGAGACGTATATATTTTTATTTCAATTATACCCACACTAACATGTCACGTAATTAATTAATTTTTATTTTTTCATGCATAAATGGGAAGTGAGAACGTAGTCAACTATAACAGTGGTGCAGAATAACTACGATGAATTCTGACTTCATGTACGTAATGCTTATTCAATGTACATCACGCACGTGTTGCGGACACAGAGGACTGATAAATGAAAATTGATAATATTTTTATTGTTACAAAATTAAAAAAATATGCAAAACATGTTCGTAGCAGTCAGCACGCCTTCGATATGTATTTTCGGATACACTAGTATATTAATAAGTATTATTATTATTAAAATAATAGCGTGTAAAAGCATTAAATGTAACACAACTTTGGTACTTATGTAAATTTAAAATAATAAAATATTTTTTTTTAAATGACATTCGTAAATGAAAAAAATAAATATCAAAAAAGTGTTGAACAAAAGTAAAAAAATTAAATTTTAAAATACCGAACATGCGGCGTATTTCATAGAGTATAATACATTTTTTTTTTTAACTGTATGTAAATTTACTGAATACTAAACAAAAAAAACCTGTCAACGGAGGAAAAAGTAATCAAAATACGAGGGAAACGATTGACGCGTAATCGATATTTATTTTAAACATTAAAGTAGCCTATTCCGTCCCTACTTACCTTTAAAAATGGACTATATTTAAATAAAGTATTTTTATATACATACACACACACACACACATCACACACATTTATAGTCGTTTGAGTTTAAGACAATATGGTTGAACCGGAAAATTGGAAAAAATAAATAAAAATCGTAATTCGGTTGCTATTATATTATTTATACGATCAAAACGTGAAGTCGGTAACAATAAAGGCACTGATTATTGTTGCAGGTACAGTATCTACCTATATGCATATTATATATATATTACGTTAGTCTGAATATCATTATAAATTCTATGGATTATATACAGCATTATCATACTGCTGAAAATTCGCTAGTAAGCAAACATGAATCCGCAGTTATTAAAGATTTAACTACGTACCTAGGTATAATATTATACTTATACATAGTATATTATTTTCGTTGCTGCCAAGAGGACGACGCGCAGTGTATAAATAATATCAACGGTATAACTATGTTACAAGTCTTGGAGATAATTTTTTCTTTTTTTTCGGGGGGGGGGGGATGATAGGTATGAGAAATTTACCAATGGATCTTAAAAGTATTTTAAGGAAGATTTTGACGCCTTATTTTTTTGTAACTCTATTCAAATTATTTACCATCAATAAATCTATTTTAATATTACATGATGATAATATAAACACTGAATAGACAAGTCTGCGAAGCTTTGTAAAATGTGTACAAAATAATATATAAAATTAGTATCTACAATTCGTTTTATAAAATATTTAACTTTAAATGTTTCTAATGTATATAGATATGTATAGGTTGGTATAAACTAGTTAAAAAGTTAATTTTGTTTAAGCTTTTAAATTTTATATATGTACATAATAGTTTAATTAGATTAATTGTCCGTTGAAATTACTTAAATTTTTTAAATTTTAAATTAATTTAAATAAATAATAAATACATTGTACACACTTTAAATTAAAAACATGTTTCTACGAACCTATGACTTTGGTTAAAGTTATAATAAGTAAATAATTCTTGATTCAATAATTAAATAGTCTCGTAATAATTATAATTGCTTCTAAATCTTTAACCATTAGCGATGTATTTGCCTCCACTATATAAAGGTTAACGCCACCCTTGTCATTCTCTTTGTCACCAACCCCCATATTACTCATATCAGTAAAACCGTTTATAAAATAATAAATAGTCATGTATCCGGTAAACATTGCATAAAATTATTTATTAATTATTATAATAATAATTTACGGCGGAGATGTACCAGAAGTGATAGTAACAAAACTTACCTCTTTTTCGACTTTCAAAGTTAGAGGGCCAACCAAAAACTTGGTTTTTACTGTTGTGTGAGTGTTCATCACGTTAACGGTAACGTCTCCGTCCCGGCGCAGACTGCTCAGTCCGTACATGGTGGCTCTAGCTCTGGGCGGACCATGGGGCTTGGGAGTGGGCTAAAATCAGACAATAATAATAATATTACAAATAATCGATAACATTGTTTTTTCACACTATCTAATAAACAATAATATTATACATGAACAGCACATGATATTATAAACATTTAAGGGCGTGATTTCACTGTATTTGATATTTTTTTTTCTAGTGGTATAATTATGCGATGCTCGTTTCACATAAACAAACTGTTTCATTTTTTATCGAATAAATAACTAAATTATATTTTGCATTTTTAAGTTTTTAAAGGCATTTTATTTTTAATATGATTTAAACATAAAATCAAATGTAATAAATTTTGTTCCAAGATTAATGGAATATAACATATAACAATATAACATGAATTATACTAAATAGGTAATTAAAATAACTTAATTTTATAGAAGTACAATTAATGTTACAATATTTAGAGATTTTATACACTAGCTATTTATTTTTTAGATTTATAGTGAATTTTATGGATGTATTAGGTATTTAACATTTTTAGAACATGAATGTATTTTCTTAGTTTTCTTGGCCATACATTTCCCAGTCCAAATAATAAAATACAATAGTAACAATTTAATTTGTTGGGGTTGGGGGCGTGTAAATATCATAATATTAGTACTTATATGACAATAATAATATACCATATAATATGACGTATACCTAACCTAACCTATAAGCGGTGAAAAGATTGTTTCCTTCTTTACATGTTTGCGTATGCCTGCAATCTGCATATATGTATATACAACTCGTATTTTGTCATATAAAGTGGTAGTGTATATCAAACAATATAAACATTACAGTTGTCTATTATGTAATATTATAATATATAATAATAAATAGATTGATTTATTTTTCCTTTAATTTCACTATAATTTGTCTTAAAACGATTATTGAACATCTATACTTATTAAAGGGTTGTTTCGTAAATATCACGATTAAATTATTTTGTTTTACATTTAACACAATGCAGTATGTAGTAAATAAAACGTATTCAATGTATAAGCTATCTGAAAGGTAATTTTATAAACTTAAATATTACATCTATATGCGTTTACTTGTGCTATATACGTAAACACTTAATAATTTCTTATATTATAAACAAGTAGGTAATAAATAAAACAGTTTATGGTATGAATTTCTGAATACAAGTAAAAGTATTTTAAACGAGTATAAAAAGTGTTTGCATTTTTATTAGTGACTTACATAATAAAGTAGTAAGGAGGAAACTGCGCAGGGTTTTGTTTTAGGCTATACGTAATTTATTATAAAAATGCGGTTCGTCGTATTATAATTTTACCTAAACTAACTTTTAAGATTTTAAAGGGTGGCAAAATGGCCCACATACAGAGTATACAGATTTATTTATGAAAGGAACCTAAACCTCATCTACCCAATTTCAAATATATTAAATATACTAGGGGTTATGATGATAAGGGTCAGGGCTAGTATGGATCCATAAAATGCTCGTCTATCTATCGTCTGTAAATTACATACCTTGTTTTTGGTGACTTTGGGTTTGTTGTTTTGAGCCTTTGACGTTCTATGGTGTTTGTGGTGCTTACGCTGTGTCCTGGGCGATGTGCCGTTTACTGCAGCTGAATGCTGTGGCACAGGGGTCGCCGATTTTTCGGTCACCGGAGCTGCTACAGTGCCATTCTTCGACACTTCCGCTTGTCGAACGCTTAAAAAAATAACAATTTGATTTTACATGATGCGCATACACAATATTTATTTATTTATTACTGTACAGAACGAAGATAAAAAAAATAAAAACGAAAACAAATGCATATCTATTAATAGAAAATGATGTAACTTGTTTAGCCAAAAAGGGCATATAGAATGCGACATTGTAGTGGATTCTCTGTCTCAGTGAGTAGAAACTCTAAAATTAATTTAGGAAAGTAATACTGAAAATCAATATCGTTAGCAAAATGTTTTTTTAAAAACTTCAAACCAACGGTTTGTTAAGAATTCAAAAGGGTGTTACAAATCTTTAGCTAGTTGGTAGGAGTACATTCGTATGGAGAGAAGTACATTTTAAAGTTGTAAAAGAGGCAAACCATAGGAATTTTAGCTTCACTCTTTCCAACAATTGAGATTCCCTGGCAATTAATGCATTCCAAAATAGCAGAAATATGTATATACAATTATGTGGTGAGCGAACTAAGAAACAATAAATGATTTTCAATGAGAAACGTAGTTATACGAGTAGATAAAGTTCAGAGTATATTCGCTGAATAAAATCAAAAACTTTGAGTGATTTATAGCAATATGCCTCAATATTTAATGTATGATCATACATTGAGAATAAAATAAAATCTGAAACTTTAGCTACAACCATTAGCTGAGGGTACAAATTCATTGTTAATCAAATAGTCTGAGGGTATTATTTGAACTGATGATTGAGTAAATAATAAATTATTATATTAGCTTACATTTAACGCGATTTTAAGGACTCGTTTCAAAAAACGAATCAGTGTAGATGGTTGTAAAAGAGTGCAACACGCTAAGTAATATAATATAATATTATAAATAGACGCTGTAAAATATCTGCACTGGTGCAATTAATGTTTAATTGCGTATTTACAGTAGGGTTGAACTTCTCTAATGACGATGACGACGACCGTCTATCAATAAAATGGTAAGTATATAAAGGGGGTTTGCCTCAAATATATTATTTTTTTTCGGTTTTATTTTTATTTTTTTCAAAGAACAAAAGGAAAAAACAAATAAAAATCATAGTGATAATAATAATAATAATAATAATAATAATAATAATAGCGAAACACCGTCAAACGAAAAACGTAATGAAAAAAAATAAAAAAAATATATGCTCGTTTCCATTAAAAGCAAAAAGTTACGCTTGAATTATCGGGCGTTTGGGCTGGCGAAATTGATATTGTTTTTGTATTATTGAAAATAATATTGCGTACGAGCTTTAATGTACGAAACTATTGTGCTGTAAAGTAATAAACCCTTTCGTACGGATGAACTTTTTTTTTTTTTTTTTTTTCCGGATATTATGAAATGCCGAAAAACGTCAAGCGCAGAAGACATTATTTAATCCAACTTGACGATGTTGTTATTATTTAGTTTTCGCACTGTCCAATTTCAAAAACTAACTATGTCAATTGTCAGTACAATCAGTACATATGTATATTTAACAGTCGAAGGATTGTTATACCGTCCCCTGCGGTAAATAAACAATATATACACGAAACTATATTATAATATATATATAATATATAATATATATATTATATATATACACACAGCACTGTAGTAGGTATATAATATAATGTCGCTGTCAGCTAAAGTTACGCGCGCGTCACGTCTCGATATATATTTGGCCGGTGTCTAATGCGGTTTTGAATAAATGCGCATAGCCTGCAGCTTGTGGATTTGCACTGCCGCACCGCCGTTCCGAGAGGGCGATACAGTACATTATAATATGCGGAGGCAACGGGGGCAGGTGGTAACACAATTATTATATGATATAATATATAATATTATATTTTATCGTAGATTTATAAATTATTCACGACGAAATCAATCCCCTGAGTTTTTCAGGAAATAACTCGAAAATGCACAGCGTGGTATATAATATTAGCTGCAGAACGTATAAATGCGAATAAGAAAAAAAAGAAAGGAAAGAAGAAGACTTTTCGTGTATACTGTATAGTCTTATTTGCCGCGTTTCCGGTTGCAGATGAATATAATATGACAGATTACGATTTATTAACATTTTAAATTGACGTGTGCAATTGAAATTTATATATATTACACTATATTATATCGTTGTAGAATACGGTCTGCAGTCGGTGTGAAATTACTTAAACCCAACGTCGCCGTGTCTAAGACAATATAATGAACCTATTATATAACTACGTGTGTACCGAATTCTAGACACAAAGTAATATGTGTGTCGCGTTAAAATTAAAGTGATGTACTTACGATTTGTGTCCCAAATCAACGAATTGAGACCGTCGGCGTTAAATTAAAGAAATACAATAGTATCATGTTCGACAACTGTATCTGTAGATACAAGAGTCGTATTTTAAATAGAAATAAAAGTAATGATTGTTGACAATTAAATGTTTAATTAATATCGCATAATTATATTAATTAAACTTTTAAGTCAATTTTTAAAACTGGAATTATTATGAACATGAAGTTTTAATAATATTTTTAACCACGTCTATTGTATAACACCAATATTGTAGTCATTCGTGTGTCTTCAATAAATGGGAAAATAATGTCATAAATAAAAACAACTTAAATTTAAAATCGTTAACCAGAAACAACACTAGATATTCGTATTTATTTTTACTATGGGATATTATGGTTTTTGGGTAGAAAAAGAAATGTAAGGAACGCAATTCGTCGTAAACATTTAAATTGTAAATACAACGATAGTCACAAACAGCATTTGTGCCAAATATTACAGTTAAAAAACATAAATTATCGGATCCAATAAGATCAATGTTAATGTAGTTATACGCACTGAGTATGAAAGTTAGGTAAATGCTATACTATGAAACTATAAGTAAATCATAATTCATAAAAGTATTCACACCACTAATGAAGACATACGTACATTGTATTGAAAGCTTTTTAAAACATCCTTTGTTTGTGTTAAGTATTATGTAAACTGAATTTTATATAATTGAAATACAGCATTGAGAAAAAGTAGTATTTTTTTAAAAATTATCTAGGTCTCCAGTTGAGGTTTAGTTTGCACTAATAATATTATAATAGTGAATCATGCATGTTTTTGATTTGTTCGGATTTTTGTTGATAATATACATTAGTGGTTTTTTTTTTATGTTTTCATGACACTATTGATGTTTACATATTTACTTTGGGGTAAATTCACTTGTGCAAAAGGGGAACAATCGAATTGGTTTTTGTCTTCCGATATTGGGGAAATAAAGAGCCTTCTTTTAATCCAAAAACTTGGTACTTTTTTCACGTCCAAATATGGATTATATGCAAAACTGGAAAACCCTTTTATAATTTCACGTGACTGTTTAATATACACATTTTTTTTTTTTTAAGTGGTGGACTTTATTTAGGCTCTAAAGCACAACTGTGCAGTGCTCTCGGGTAGACGAGAGGGCGCGCTTACAACTGTAGCCGAAGTATGTGTGTTCGAAAATCGTATATAAATATAATATTATTGTATTTTAGACCTTCGTATAACTGAAAACGGTGCATTGTTATTTGAATAAACGTTAGCGACGCACATTCGTCGTGACGTTTCGATTGTTGTGTACAGAATACGCGTTACTTCTGTATTGTGATTTGTATGAGTACTTGGAAATAGATTTTCTGGGACGTTTACTACATGTATTTATGTGCACTTTTAAGCACGCTCTTAAACTCGCGACAATGCGCTACAATAGTACAATGTCGTATTAAAACGAATTAGTTACGCGCGTTTTAAACACTGCGTTTCTAACATCATCATTATTATTTATATATAATATGTAATACAACTGCTATTATAGAACGAATTTGTGCGCGTACACGTGTCATCGATAGATTATAAATGACTACGTGAAACTGAAATTAAGATTCAAAAGCAATCATTCCAATTTAAAAAAATTAAATACCTACTTATGTCTTATATTATTAGTATTTGTTACGTATATTTTTAAATGTTAATAGAACGTGAAACGTGATTGATGCGCTTAAGACTGATGATAATAAGTAATAAAATAATAAATATTGATGAGGAATGAAGTGATAACAGCAGCATTGTCAATATATATGCCGACATTAGCATTAATAAGCTTTTTATATTTTCAGACAAGCTATTCAAATAATATAAATACTTGACACCGCATTAGAAACTATAAACTGTAATATTTTCATTATTTTAATTCAATCATTAACAGCGTGCTTGAAAATTTAATCATTGTGTTTAAATCAGTTATTTAAAATATTTTATGCTTTAACTCAACGACAAAGTAAACAACTAATAAGTTATTTGTTTTATAATACAATTGTTTATAAAAATAATAGCTGTACATTTTTGGAGTTATCGTTAATTTTATTACTTACATTATAAATTGTATTAATGAGACCAGTCTTATTAAGAATATTTAGATGGAATACCATTGAATTATATGATTAAAATAAAGTATTTTGGTAAAACTAAGAACTATAGAAATTAATATTTGCTGGGGTAATATAAAATGAAAACCATGAAAGAGACGAGAAATTGTACATAATATATTAATCCAATATCCAAATGTACACAAAGAGTGTGAGAGTCATTCAAGGACTATAATTTTAAGGAATGACAGGGATAAAATTAGAGTTATGTTAATAGTAAAATTAAAAAGTTAAATAAATGAAAACGTATTACAACAAGGTTATTGTTCTCAAATATTTATCGACACTATAATATGTGTGCATTTGAACACTTTAAACTACCTACGTATCCCGTATTCGTATTGACCTTATACCGTTGCCGTCTATTTTAGTTTTCAAAATTATTCGCACAGCGAATTTAATTGAATTTTTAGATAATTAATTTATGTGCTATAATGTATTTATTTACTGCTGGCAATGAAAAAATAGTTCAGATAAAAATACATTTTTCTTATAGCTGTTTTTTTTTCAATGACGCATTTATATATAAACCCCGTTTTAAGTAGAAAAATCTTAAGAGGATTTAATAAGAATAGATTTATATTTTTAAATTATACTATATAATATATGACATGATTATCTTCATTAGAGTGGAATATTTGAAATTTTATTAAAAATTAATGGTATGCCAGTTTATACTGCTATTAAAATAAATTTGATATTTATTTTATGATGATTGACGATGGAGGAATGAAAATATACTGTTATCCAATGCAGGATAAATTTGCTCAAAAATACGTCTACTAGGACATACATTTTTATAATAATTATTACTACCATTATTATTAATTATAATTTATAATTTTGATGTAAAGAGTAAAGAGTGATAGATAAGTATAATTTATTTTAGTTTCGTAACAATTTTAGCTTATTGTAAGGAGTTTGTATTGTATTTGCTTACGCATCCAATATTATTTTTTATGCCGATTGGTATTGTTTTGACTTCGGTGATCTTATACAAACATTAATTGCAGACATCCACCAATGAACTAAAGTTATATTACAATAACAATTATCATTGGTGTATTGTAATTTGGAGGGTACATGGGTATTTACTTCTTTAGTTTCTCCATAACCTTTGCAACTACTAACTATTAATTATTACCCGTTTAAAAAATATCTATTATGGGTACTATAAATACTTTTATAAATAATAATGTGTTAAGATTTAAAACACATTTATTAACATCAGATAATTCAAATTGGTGTTGTCACCTTGTAAAAATCATTTATTTTTAGATTTTACTTTGTGCAATGATAAGGTTTACATTATTGTCATAGATCTATGTAATAAGATGTATGCATATGAACTTTTTTTTAAGCAATACATCAATGATAATAATCAACTTTTCGACTAGCATATAAATAATATTATTATGTTATATACAAGTTATTTTACATACTATAATCTATATAGAATACAATCATGCATTTTATTTAATAAATAGATTACAGGTATTACCTTTCCCTGGATTCGAGTTTGGGTTTGGTTTTTGGTTTTTGAGAGGTGGTACCCTTTTTCTTCTGGTCCGTGGTCTGTGTGGGTGTTTGCAGACGCACATTAACCGGGTCGTAGTTTTTCCTCAGCACTTTGTTAATCCGGCTCAGTATGTTGTCCACAAACCTATTATACTTGGTGATGTACGAAGAGGGCAAGGTCACGGGGTTGCTGGCCATTGCACCTGAAGATGGACCAAATCGTAAATAAATAAAAAATTATTTTTGTCAAATTCGCGACCCGCGGTCCTCCTGCCATCCGCATAAAATGTACAGGAATATTCGTTTCGGTGACGAGAGCACGCAATTTTTTCAAAAGTGAACTCAGAGTTACCGACCATTACGGTCGATTGCATTCGCTTGGGAGATGAATTTTGAACAAAAAAATTATTTTTTTCTTGGGTCTCTACATCATAACACGAAACTGCTGACCAAATTTCATGTTCATAGCTTCAGCGGTTTCACCTAGACGATGATTTTCAGAGAGTCAAGACATGTTATTAAATACATTATATATGTATATATATATAAACGACGAGTCTATCTTATAATAGTGACGTAAGTAATAAGGTAATGAATAATGATAAATATTTTCTATGTGAAAATATTTAGAGAAACAGATAGGTTTTATGTCGCACTCGATTAGTGTCGAATAGTATCAGGCACAAGCACTCACTGGGTGTTAAATCTTGGTTGATTATTCTATCGTTAAATCGATAACTACGCACCGGAAAAAAAAAATAAAATATTTTAATATCATATAAACTTTGGGTTTTAGATAGATAATTATTAAGATTTTGGTATCCGGCAAAAAATAAAAAAAATAATAATGTCTATATAGTTATCCACGTAAAAATCAAATCTTAAATTTCAACGAAACAATTTTGCGAAAACATATCCGACTACCTCTTAAAACACGGACCTCAGTGTGAAATTCATATTTATTATTTACACTCCTTCATCTTGTTTTCTATAGATCGAAGTAAAGCTCATGACTTTATTATACGTGTCTGTGGCATGACGGATACTTTTAAGAAGTATGATATAACAAAAAGTCATATTAATGTTATGGCAGCCACGCAATGGTACGACGGTCGTTAATCTACATGAATTTATAGTTTGTCGGTATAATACGACGACTGTGTATTTTCACACACAAAATTCGATGGATAAATCATTGGATTAAAAAACCGATTTTCATAGTTTGATAAAAACCGCACTTGATGACTGACAAAAAAAAAAAAAATTTGACCAGAAAAGAATACCTATTACTTCAACGCATCGCTTACCACACTATTTCCGATCTTTATAAACGGAGTAATAATAATAATAATAATAATACACAATACACTTTTCAAACACCATGCTTGGAAAAGCATTCGATGAAAATCGAAAAAAAGAGAACAAAAACCGTCATCATCAAATCCAATATAATAAACATTGGCAGGTATACACGGAACGACAAAACAATAGTGCAATATAATATAATAATGATAAAAATGTTAAATAATAATGACGTCCGACGATGATAAATGCACTCGCAGCACGTCATCGTCTGTGCGGTAAATTAGTCTGTTGTGCTTGTTAGTCTGGGTGTACGCGTGCTTTCGATATTTGGGCTGTCGTGATTTGTTTAATATAGAACGACTTTTTTTGTAGTAAACATTACGTCTAAAAGCGTTTAAGTTTTTAAAAACAATTTTTTTTTACGTAATTTAAAGATGTTAGAAGATAAAATGTTTGATTTTATTTTATAATTGCAAAACATTTTTATCACTACAGTTGTTGTTTCAAAGTTTTTACGGTTGTTTCAAACATTTTTAATTTTTAAATTCCTGTATCCAGATTAATTTTCTCAGAACTTGAGTATATAAAAATTGAATTTTTAATTAGAAGTCAATAATAGTTATAACTTATAAGTATTTAAAGTTTAAATGAATGTTGTAAAGGTACTTTGGTACCTCGAAAAATGATTGTCCACTGTAAGTCTACAACTCCGCTAATTTAAACTTTAAGTACTTATAAGTACTCAAAACTAATTTTATAGGATGAAATTTGCGCACATTGATTGTTTTTCCAATTTAATCTTGGATTATGTAGCATAATATCGCATTTTGGTCAGTCGTGCCACCTGCGTCATGATTATAATAGTTGTATTATTGTTACCTATGCCGATTACAATATTAAATCTATTTAGAAATTAAGTCAATAATAATAATAATAATAATAATAATAATAAAGAACATTGTAATTATACATATTACCAATAATTGTGGTTTTCGTTATGAGACGATGATTTTTCTCAATGTTAAAATTAATACGACGTTTTTGATAATATTTATATTTTGTGAATTTTTATTTTAACCGTGTCAAAGAAAATATTTTTAAAAAAAATCAAATGTATTTATATTTTAATCTCAGATATTTATTTTATTATTATTTTTTTTTTGCAAACATCGTAAGTATTATTTTTAGTTCTATTTTTCAATACAGAATATTATTTTAGAATAAAAAAAAAAAATCTAATTATTATATAAAATAGACTAAAGGCTTTTATTTATTATTAGAACTTGTAAATGTCTAAAGTTAAATTAGCGAAATAATTGTGGTGATGTAACAGAGGTTGATACACCACAAACTTTTGCTCTGCTGCTCCGTTTATTTAAACTTTAAATGCTAATAAATAATAAAACATCAGTTCAACAATATTTAATTTTAATACAGTAACAAAGTTTAATGTATAAAAAAAATATTACTTTAGAGAAAAAAAATATGAATCACCCATTTAAAAAATAATAATTCTAGAAAATGTATTATGTGTAGTGTTGAGAATACAAAAAAGCGCTTTAGAGAAAAAACGAACTCTTCAAAAACTAATTAGTTATGTCGCACGTGACATGAACGAATTTCTAATACCAAAATAATAATGATAGTGAAATATATTTACCGAAAATCCGTTAGCCCACCAGCGGTAGTATTATTTTAACGGCGTCTTGTCGTATTTTGTATATGCATATAAAATATATATATATCCGCATTGCATAGTATATTACTATGCATATCACATAACGATATTTAAATATTATAATTATAGGTTTAGCGATGACTCGTCCAATAAAGGACGCCCCCCGCAGAGAAGTATTTTACTAGGTGCAAAATATTTTTAGTGTCAATACAAGTAGAGTGAGCAAGCGAAGCCCCCCACAACCTTTAAACCTAAATTACACAGATAACGAAATTAAGAATAATTTTATAAGTGACCAAAATAAATGTAATAATAGATTCGTAGTATTAGTGTTGTTTCATGACTGTATGTACGCCAATACTAAAGTAGGTACCAACTGCAGTTTTTTATAATAGGTAATTAATATTTACTGTTTTGGCAATAATTATTGATATAAATAATTATGAATTATAAAAAAGAAATTCTTATTCGTAATTATTTACTTGAAAATTCCAAACTATTAAAAAATATTTTCTCAGGTGGTGCAAATGCACCACTTGACCCCTTCCTCCAGGCATCTCTGCGTCCGAACTACGTTTTGGTTGGTCGTAAGTGGTGTTGATAGAGAGGGGGGTTACATCCTTAGTGTTAAAGTACATGATGAATTTATGTTCGCTTTAAAGACCTTAATAAAAAGACGGGAGTATTCTCTTACTCGATCGTAGCAATAAGTCATTCGAAAATGCTCATTCTTGTTTTTTCTTTGTCTACAAAAGAATTTAGTTAAGTTTTGTTATTTGAATATTTTTAGTAAGCACATTTAAGGACTATATTTTAATTTATTTGAAATTTTCATATCATTTAAATAGTGTTTGGCAGTAGGGATACGAATATTTTTTTTTTAAATAAAAACTTAGCCTTTCACTGTAAGTTTTTAAGCAGACGGCTTTATTAAAAATAGTAATTTTATTTAACTAAATTAAAATGTATATTAGCAGTTTCCGAGTGATTAAAATATAAATTCTTATAATAATAGTTTTTAAAAGCGGTTTTACAAAAGTAGAAATCGGATGATCGGATTTAATGTTTATTATCCGAGGATAATAATTTTTACAAATTACAAAATATTATTAATAGCTATTGTTTTTGTGGATCTATTGTTCTTAACATGTACACTAAGTAAAAACTCAAAAAATTGTCTTTAGAATTTTGATTTAAATGATACAATTAAAATGAAAAAAGTTATCCGAGTGAAAATTTACTTGGAAAAGAACGGTTTTCATTTGAAAAAAAAAATATGTTGGTACACAATAGGACATCATAAATGGTATAAAAAAAAATCTGAGTATTTAAAAATTTGGTCTTTAAGTATACATATATATATATATATATATACATATCTACTAAAAAGATTCGGTAAAACGAGAGTTTGAATAAATTGATTATTAAACAGGAAAATGGGAGTTAAAACCGAGTGAGCGCACTCGGTGATTCGGTTCATGTGAGTAAATCGTATATTCGTATGATAGCATCGACAAGTCCGATCGGGTCGCCGATCGCGAAGACAAATCTGTCAAAATCGCGTCACCTCGTGGGAGATTATTATCGCAGACGTCGCGGCATTTTCATACACAGTGACGACAGAGTCGTCGCGATATTTCGTCAAGATTTGCCGCCTGCGCTTCGCCTCGGTTTTCGGCGGCTCGTCCCCTTAGATACACCAAAAACGAGAATAACAGAGTAGGTAACGCGGAACCGACACGGAAACGCGGTTATTTGCTAGCTAAAATCATCGGCGGCGGGTAAACGACCACGCCGGTGTTTGCCCGTCGTTTCGCCACGAATTCGCTACCGATGTGTCATCATCGTCGAGTCACAGATCGCTCGTCGTGCTCGGAGGAGCGGCGAACACAATAATTCGAAATATTTCACGAACGAGTTTGAATAATAATATAATATCATTATTCATTAATAACGTTGCATTGGCCGTTGCGGTGCAGTCGAATAACGTATTATACGTATACCGCGTGCCCCGGATGACGGCACCGCTGAATCGCGCAGGAACGTCGACGATAATATTATTAATATTATATTAGTATTATTTTGGCGAAGAATAACGGGACAGGAAACGATTTCGACCTGCCACGCGTCCGAATTAAAAACGCGTACCAACCTACAGTACCCACACACACACACACACACACACACACACACACACACACACACACACACACACAAATA